GAAGGAATGATTTGTCTTTAATGCTCATCTTATTATCTATAATATTATACGTATTTTTGCTGAGATAAATTTCTTTTAATTAACCAAGTGAAAGGGATTACATGTAATGAGTTTCATATATATTTGTTTAAGATAGAGATATGAAATATGTTATGAAATCGAGATAAATCCAATAATAATGTTAACTAATATGCTATGCACTGATACTTTCATTATCTCGTAAAATTTTCTTTTTTACTAAATCTTAATATTTATATATTTTAATAGTGAAACATGTATTAACGCATGTTAAACTACTTTAAACTTTAAATCTCGTTTATAATAATTATCTACATAATTTTTTTATTTACTCCTAACCGCGATCAGAGCCCTGCGTGATGACCTGAGAATAGATGTGCCTATTGGGGGCTCACTTCTAATGGTAAGTTTACTGTTCACTCTGCTTATAATATGATTATTGATACATCTTCTCTTTTTGCAGAAGATAACAGGTGGAAGCTCGCGTGGACTTAGTCGGGAGCTGAACGGGTTCGACATTTCCTGTGGCTAATCTTGCGTAAGAGTTTACTTTCAAGAGGAACGGGTATATTATTGAAAGATTTTTTTTTTATCACTCTTGCCTTGTTCATTATGATCTGAACCAATAAAACATCTCTCCCCAAGTTATTCCCAACATATTGGTGATCTACCATACCTACCGTATAGTGCTTCTTAATAAGACATACTAATGCTTGATTGTTGACTGATTGTTTGTAAGGTTATCCAACATACATGCACATAAATATCCTTCAATGCTGGTACAGTGCACTCAGTTTGTGGCTAGCATTAGTTTGGTAAGCAATACTAAAAGTTCAATATGGTTGTCATAATAGAGTGAACACTCGATAAAAGACAGAGACGTGAACCTTGGATATCTCAAGGAATTCAATGTAACCCTACTATCTTTTTAACGTATATAACTTAGCCAATTGATCAAGTGAGACGAGTTCGACAAATCTTCCTCTTCATTGTTTTGGGTTTTAATCCAAAATCTCCCAGCCCAACAGACCACAACCTAGTCCAAACAAAAACCCAGCCTGATAGCCTGGGTTTGTCCCCAAACTATCCAGCTCAGCCCATCAGCAGGTTTCCCTAAATGTCATCGCTTAGTAAGCCTTAGAGGCAGTCGGAAGCTAGGTTTTCTCGGGGCTTTTCCCGTTATTTCACTGACAAAAGACTGAAGCTGCAGCCGGGGAGGTAGGACACTCCAGAATCCAGAAGTTCAGGGGGCGCTTAACCGATAATTGGTAAAAGCATATTAAGAATTGTTTAGATTTCAGTTTGGTGTTTAGGTTGCTTTTAATCTTCAGTTTTAGATTTAGATCAAAGTACATTATGATTAATATTTAGAGTATGTCGATGTGATTTAACATGCTATCTAAGTCTATGTTTGGATAATAACTTATGATGCATGTATTTGAGTTTAAAGCGAGCAGATGATCATGGAATTTGGAATGCCATGTATACTGATTCTCTGAATGTAGATGGTGGGTACTGGCAATTACTGTATCAATATTCTTCTGATGGACCATAAATAATCAGTATCAGAGGATTAATAAACTAGGCTAAGTCATCTAAATTTTTAATTAAGCTTAACACTTGAATTTAAGAAGGTTTAGAAAATGATAATAAAAAGGGAAGAAAAGAAAATGAACCGAATTCAGGAGTCAGGGGAAAAAGATTAGGTTCACAATTTGGGAAATGTTGAAGACCACGTGGGGAAAAGAGTACATGGAGTCATAAGGAATTGATCCTTATATCTTTTTTATTTTCTTTCATTGATTTTTTTTTTATGTATTTTCGTTCTCCATTCCTGTGACTTGTAAATGTGATTACAGGAATATGTTAGAACTGGATATCAGTGTCACACACTTGTACATAGTTAGAACATTAGTTCCTTGCAAATCATGTTTAATCAATTAGTTGTGGTAGGTGCTACATACCATATCCTGTTTTACTTCGGACCTTAAAAATCTATTATTTAGATCAGCGGGTACTGTAACTTCTGATTCTATTTCCAATAGGATCATGGTGGCACTAAAACCAAATTTTTTAAAATATCATTTTTTTTCAAGTTTTGTCCCGTGTCACTGTTGTGACAGTTTGACGGCTCCACATATTCTTTTGCCCAGGTGCTGGGACATAGTGAATATGTCCTTATACAGAATCACATTTGGATAATTTTTCCTTCTCTTTGTTTTTCTTTTTTTCTTTTCTGTATATTTCTCTCTGTTAAAGTCTTAGCATAACAGAAAGAGACGACGTAGAAGGCTGAAGGACAAAGACATGGCAAAATTGAGTTCAATATCATCCTACTCGCAAGCAAACCTGGCTTTTCAATGCCCAAAAATAGGTAGAATTCTTTTTTTTTTCTTTTTGCTGCTCGATTTCTGGTTTATTTGTCTGTTTTGCTCAGTTCTGTGTACTGTCTCTTTCCTGCTTAAAATTTTTATATTTGATATCCTCTACTCTTCTTTTCTTCACTAAAGTGTTGTTGTCTTGTTAATGGGGTTTTGAAAGTGCCTGGTTGTTTTGGTTTGGTTTGTGCGAGTACATAGTTTCAACTGAGGTCCTTGAAAATTACCCCAAAATGGAACTTTTTTAATCGTGGAATCTTTTTTTTTTCAAATAATATTATATTTTACTATTCTGGTTTCTTGAGTACCTTTTTCTCTTTATTCTTTTTTCAGGCTCATTGCGGTGCCATGATAAAGTAGCTTGTCCCAGGAAGATTTCTTCATTCCAAGAGGTACTTTTTACTGATAATGATGTTATAATAAAATTTTCATTTGCCTATTTTCTAAAAAATGCTCAACTGATGTTGGAAGTTTTGGGTTTTATCTTAAGACCAAAAAAGGAACACTGGTTTAGTTTTTCTCTTCTATTGGCATGTTACATTGTTGTTATTTATGATCATTATATTTTTTGACGGGACAGTTAGGAGTGAGGGGGAGTGAGCTTTCTGGCATTGCTGTGATTAGTAAAACTATGGCTGCTACTCGGGCCCATGAGAAGCAAGGTGGTGTAGTTACTTATTCAAAGCTTTCGTTGGTTTCTTTTATTATCTAGCAGATGCTTCTTTTAGTTTTTTGCTTCTGTTCTAACAAAATCATTGATGTATTGTGCACTTTTGGTAATTTACTAGGAAGCATTTTATTAGCCAAATTTCTGTGTGTTCATTGCTTACTTATTTCAAATTGAGTTCTTTTTGATCCACAGTGTAGTTAGGAGGTCGGAAGTAGGATTTCTGCTACTTTTTGGATCTAGAATTTTCAAGTGTCCTGCATTTAATGACGTTAGCAATATAATCTTCAATTGCAGTCATACAAGCTGTTTTGTCCAGTGATAGAGAGATGGAATCTTCCACAGCTACCAAGGGTGGAGGTCTCCGTGGCAAGCTAAATAAGGTTGTTCTTGCCTATAGTGGAGGTTTAGACACCTCTGTTATTGTCCCCTGGTTAAGGTGGGTAATTATTTTATTTAATTCTTTTTATTTCATAAAAATATTTTTTTAAGGAACTAATTAAAATATGAATAAATATGAAAAAGAGGGCATAGACTGCACTGAAATGAAAAACCCATCTGACCTTTTTAAAACTACAACTCTTGTAATTTATGTTTCCATTTTGCCCGAATTACTAGTAGATGTTATTTGAAGTCGATTCAAGTAATGAAAAATAAGTGATTCTTCCTCTGAGTCATTAAAAATTAGAAACAGGAATCACATCCCTCCAATATTTGACTCTTAAACAAAACAGAAAGTTGTTATTATTTGCAAATCCAAAATCTTAATCACATTCTATCTAAAAATGAATTTAAATTCCAAAATTTTCCTGGAACTCATTTCTTCCAATCATAGTGTCAGATATGTAACTGTGTAGATGTGGGTAAAACCATACATCCCAATTTTCTCTTCTTTGACAAGCCAACCCAAGTACTAGTTCATTGTTTCTTTCCATTGGTGAGTTGTTGTAGTTGTTTTAATCTGGTTGGCTGAGACTTCAGAATCTCTCTTTTAGTTTATTCCAAGGTTCGAAGTTGTTATTGTGGAGCTGTTGCAACATGTACCTTCTTCTTGATTATATTACAGTTAACACTTTGACGTTTTCACTACCTTATTCTTTGATGTGATGTATATTTGTAAAACACTGCAGATGTTTCTCTTTTACAGGGAGAATTATGGTTGTGAGGTTGTGTGCTTCACAGCAGATGTTGGTCAAGTATGTGAACTTCAGTGCTAGTTAATTTGATTTACAGTCTTAAACTAATGTGGATGCGTTTTGATACTTAATACTGAATAAGAAATGCTAAATGTGCAGGGTGTGCATGAATTAAAGGGTTTAGAAGAGAAAGCAAAAGCAAGTGGTGCTTCTGGATTGGTTGTCAAGGACTTGAAAGAGGAATTTGTAAGAGATTACATATTTCCCTGCCTTCGAGCTGGTGCAATTTATGAAAGGAAATACCTGCTGGGCACTTCTATGGCCC